TTACTGTAAACTTTCGTCCATATAAGTAGCAACGGAAAGTTTTTATTCCCCAAACGACTGCTAGACACTCCTGCTCTGTGGTCGGATAATTCATTTCGGCTCTATTCATTAGTCTACTACCATATGCTACTGGGTGTTCAAATCCGTTGATTTTCTGGCTGATAATAGCTCCAAGTGCAAATTTTGAGGCGTCTGTTGTGAGTATAAAAGGTTCTTCAAAGTTTGGGTATTTCAATACTGGGTTTGTACACAGTGATTTTCTTAAGTGGTCGAAGTTGGATTGGTGTTCGTCAGTCCATGAAAAAGGTGTATCCTTCTTCGTCAGTGTGGTTAATGGCTTAGCGCGATGGCTAAACTCAGGAATAAATCTTCTGTAAAACCCTACGAGCCCTAAAAATGCTCGTATGTCCTTAATACATTTGGGAACTGGATATTTTTGAATAGCTGCTATTTTCTTTGGATCTGGTTTAACGCCATCTTTGGAGATGATGTGCCCCAGGTATTCCGTCTCGGCTTTCATGAATTTGCATTTTGCTGGCTTGAGAGCTAGCTTGGAGTCCCTGATGCGTTGAAAGACTTCCTTCAGCCGGACCAGGTGGTCCTCTTGGTTTTTCGAAAAAATTATGATGTCATCCAGATAGACTAGACACCTATCGTTGGTTAATCCGGATAGCACCGCATACATAAGCCGCTGCCACGTAGCTGGACTGTTTATGAGCCCAAATGGCATTCTAAGGCATTCATAATGCCCATCGGGTGTGGTAAATGCTGTCTTCTCTATGTCTTCTTCAGCAACTTTAACCTGCCAATAGCCGCTAGCCAAATCTAGTGTAGTAAAATATTCTGCCTCGCCCAGCGTGTCCAGAGTTTCCTGTATATTTGGTAGTGGAAAGAAATCTCTTTTCGTAATTTTGTTCAGCTCCCTGTAGTCGATGCAGACACGTACTTTCTGTTCTCCATTAATAGATTTTTTTGCTACCATAACTACAGGTGCTGACCATGGACTGCTTGATGGTTTTATCACTCCCGCTTCTAACATTTCCTCGATTTCTTTTCTTAAAATCTCCCGTTGGTGGAATGGTACTCTGTATGGCTTCTTGGTGATTGGATGGCCCTCTTCTGTAATGATTCGATGTTCGACTTTGTGTGTGGCAGTCAGGGTTTTCTCATTTCCGTGGAATATATCAGCATATTCCCTTAGCAGCTCTTCTAACTTCCTTCGGGATTCTTGGTCCAGGTGGTCTGTAGCCTCGTCCGGTATCCAATATCCTTCTGAAGTTTTCTCATTTACCTGATCCAGGCGATCTCCTGTCGCTTCTGGTATCCACTCTTGCCCCTCTTCCAGTAGCTCTTCTATTTCTATTTTTCCGACATACCTTAAGAAGTTGGGTTCCGTTTCGGTTATCCCTACCATAGTTCCAACAGGACAAGTGGACGGCAACTCCAACTCCTCTTCTGTCACATTTATAAGTTGTACTGGGACCTTCTGCTCGTCTCGTACCATCGTTCTGGCTATTAGAAGTCCATGGACGTGCACTTCCATGGGCTCCATTATCGCGATGTTTCCAGTTGGTTTCTTTTGTATACCTTGTACAATTACTTGCGATCTTGGTGGTATTATTAGGTGTTCCTGCAGGTGAACGGTCCTAATTCGAGCAGTCCCCAACTTATCTCCTAATTCCGTACTAGTACTGCATTCTACCTTTTCATCATCATTGTCTACTGTAACCCTGTTACAAATATCTTCACTTTGGGCGCCCCTCTCTTCTCTGTCTCCATTGGGTCCAAGTCGGGGTTGAACGGCTCCTCTCTGTGGGGGACCCGACCGTGTCAACTGACTCTTCTCCATGGCTGCTACTGGTCCGCTGCTGCATGCTAATATACCCTGACAATTACCATATAACTTGGCTTCCGATGTACCAATTGTTACACTTCCCATTTCTTTTGCCCAGTTGATTTCTGCCTCATACTTTTGCAGAAAGTCTACTCCTATCAGGCCATCCGTTTCTAAAGGAAACTCATCGTTCACCACGGTGAATGGGTGTTTCCATGTACCATCTCCAATTTGTATCTTGAGGTGCGTCGTGCCCACGACGGGAATCCTCTGCCCTTGTATGTCTACTAACGTCTTCGTATCCATGTTGTAGTTGTCCACCATCCGCGTCTTGATTATGGACACTGAAGCTCCCGAGTCTAGAAGGAGGCTGCAAACCTGCCCGTTTACTTTTGCCAAGATGTTATTTTTGCAGCTGTCTTCTATGGTGGTGGAGGGGTTGGGAGGCTTCGTGTCCACGATTTCTACTGTCGCTGGTTTCCTAGGCCCCTGTTCGCGTTTTTTGAACAGTGCCTTGCCATGTGCCCAACTTCGTTGCAAGTGTAGCAACGGGTCCTATAGTTCTGTTTACATTCCCTGGCTAGGTGTCCTGGTTGGTTACAGCTGTAACATCGCCACGGTTTCTGCTTAGTTTGCTCCAGGGGGGATCTGGAGGTCACCTGTCCCACTGTTTGTATTCTGGGACTTCTGCCCCATTGCTTGAAACTGGCTTCTAATTCTTTCGCAATTTCTACTGCTTCTTGGTATGTAGTTGGACCACGAATGACTACCTTCTCCCTTAAAGTTGGCACCATGCCCTCCAGGAACTGAATGTGCATGTTCTTCTCAAGAACCTCTTGCATGTATACGGCCCGTTCTTCATCCATTTCCTGGTTTACCGTCTTCCTGGCTGCCTTCTCTAACCGGTGTACGAATTCTGTAATTGGCTCCTGTGACAGTTGCACCGTTGAGTGGAACGCCTTTGCCGCCTGGAAAGGTGTCAGCCTTGTAGAGAATCGGTCTACTAGCTTCTTCTTTAATGCTGCCCATGTAGTATCACCTTCCAGGTGTGCAAGTGACCATGCTGCCCCCTTCAGCTTCATTTGGCACACCTTAAGCTTCATTTCGTCATTCAGGTCGTACAGTTCGGCTGCTTGTTCTACATGGTCAAGAAACTCCTTTACACTGCCCTTGCCATTATAATACTCCAAGCCTTGGAGTGCTGCCGCGATTGCCTTCATGCTCAGGGTAGGCGATACCAAGGAGGAAGAGGAAGAGGTTAAGGATTGGTTATTAGGATCAGTATGGGTTTTAGTGTCTTTGTTATCGTCAGTCATCTCGTATGCAAACTGGTAATAAACCTCGTTAAACCCGACAAGATCACAAATACATGCACCTAAGGACACAGAGTCTTCGCTATCAGACGTTTTTAAGGCCTTTTAATACAAGTTCACAAAAAAAACACACAATTGAATAACTATACTAAAAACTTACTTTACTTGTAAATAAGATAAAATTAATTTAAGAAACTTAAAAATACAAATAAAAAAACTGTAATTACTTCGGCCAAAACAAACTCTCAAAACTCACCCTTAGCGAAGCCCTTACAAAACTTATTTTTGTTAAATCCCACCGCTGCCACCAAATGTTAGGTGCGCGGACGAGCGATCTGATTGGTTACTCTAAAAGGTATGCTGCCACCAGGACCAATGGGTCCGTGTGTCTCTCAGGCTATGTATTTGTGAAATAAAAAAGGTGTTTATGATTATAATTAGGTTTTTAATTAACCAGCAAAAGAATACAAGTAAATATAAAGTAAAAATTAAAATAAAACTAAAGTAAAATTAAAGATAAAAGAAATAAAAGTAAAGTCGAATTATTAACAATGGTAAATTCTAGCTAAGGCAAATAATAGAACTTATCAACAAAATTAAATAATAATAACCAGAATAGTTTCCCCAAGGGAGAGCAATATCAGTTTAACACCAAGGTAAGAGCTTATACTCACAAATAATTATACCCACGAACATTGGACTTGACACTTTGGAAAAAGAGGGTAGTTTTAAAGGTAGAAAAAGGTATCTGCACTACACCTGGCACTTGGCACTGCTGCTTGTTGACTACTAGAGTGTTTGGTGAACTGAATTTTATAAGTTTATTCGCGGATGGTTTTTATACCAAAAGTTAGCCAATTAATTGAAAAAAATAGAGATAAAATGAAAAAATAAATGTAGGAAATAACGTAATCAATTTTGCTAAGGTCGCGACCCATCGGCAAAATATAAAGGCGGTATTTTTATTCTAGAAAAATAGCGTGATCAAATTGTGTCATATTTCGCAGGAAAAATACGCAAAATCATTTAGATAAGACTGAATTGAAATATAACGACGCATGTAATCTTGACCCGACCTAGCCATTGACCTTACTTAAGAAATATCAAAATATAAAAATAAATCGGTTGTAATATGCCGAAAAAGTAGAAAAAATAACGTAATTTATAGGTGTAAACCTAACAATAGCTCGCGGAATATTACGAAAGTAAATTTTAACAAACCAAAGAATTCTTGTAATATAAAAATATTGTTTAATTATACTCACTATTATAATAATAGTGACACTATTTAATAATATATTTATATTATATCCTATATATGGGATATAATCATTGACAAGTGATGCAATTATGTATATATACATATTTAACAGTATATTGCCTTACCTAGTAATTCTAAAGCATAAAAAACTCTTATAAAAAGTTTGAAAAAATAATTACGTTAAACTACTTTTTTCCTATTTCTGCTGAATAAAAAGGGGGCGGCAAAAATATCTTCGCCCGGGGCGGCAAAAAAAGTCGGGCCGGCCCTGGCTGAAAGTGAACCCTATTTTTAACATTAAATATATATTGATTATTGAGGTATTTGGAACAAAATATTTTGTGGCGATGTAAAGATACCTATTTCACCAATTACCCAATTTATCCAAAAAGTGGAGATTAGTGGTTTTGCTTTTATACCCCTCATATGTCATATTGTTTACAATAATTAGAAATTTTTCAGAACTATAATGATATTATTTTAAATTATTAATTATTTTAAGTCATCTTACAAGTTTACGATATTTTAAATTTTAATAGATCTAACTATTTGCAATATGCATATATAATTTAATAAAATACGTATGTCTTACCTGCATAACATGAAGACATTCACAAAATTCAGTATCACAATTCGACACAGTCGATGAATTACAGAACATCGTATCATCAAATTGGTCTCTTTGAGGCATTATTGGAGAATTGGGGAACTTCAACGATATATGATTGATTTGAGGCGTCAGAACTCTATTCGGAACACTTACTAAAAATAAAATATTAATTTTAATACAAATGTAGAATTAGTACGAAATTATAGTAAAGGTTTTTATAACATATAATAAAATATATAAATTTTTAGGCATATGGCAACGCTGTTAGTTAATAAATTGCATGTCTTAACAATGTTAAACCAAATATATTTGGTTATAAAGTCTCAAATTTAATACAAATAAATAATATTTAATCTACGATGAATTTAAAATTTAATAAACTAAAAAATATGTTATATACATAGTTAATTAATTTGTATTAAACTTAAAGGTATTGGTTTAATGTAAATCAGGCATCTTTGATTTAAAATATATAAATTTTTAGGCATATGGCAACGCTGTTAGTTAATAAATTGCATGTCTTAACAATGTTAAACCAAATATATTTGGTTATAAAGTCTTAAATTTAATACAAATAAATAATATTTAATCTACGATGAATTTAAAATTTAATAAACTAAAAAATATGTTATATACATAGTTAATTAATTTGTATTAAACTTAAAGGTATTGGTTTAATGTAAATCAGGCATCTTTGATTTAAACTTTAAATTTAATTAAATAATTAATTACCATGTATTACAAATTTTAATAATTAATTGTGGTTTACAATATATCGAAAATTTCAAAATTTTATATTTCTATTTTACTCTTCAAGTAATATTTGTAGAAGACAAAATTTTAAAAATATTAATTTAAACGATTATTTTTTAACGATTCTAAAAACAAATAAAAACATTTAATTTCAGTCATGTGTGTACGTTGCCAATCACAACAATATTATAGGGAAAATAATCTACTTACACTATTGGCGGAAAAATATTTTGAAGTATTTTTTTGACATTTAGGTTTATTTTTTAGGTATTTTTGGGCATTGTTGTTACGTCAAAAAATATTTTAACGAATACCAAACAAGAGATCGATAAATTAAAATAATCCAGATTTTCTTAAAAATGTTACCATGTGTCTACTTCCTAGCAACAGGTTTTCGAAAATCTGTCGAATTATCTTTATTTTAATCTTACTTTACTGTGATATTATTGATGAAAATTAACCTTAATTAATTAATCATTGGCTAAAAAATATGTGCATAGGGCTATTAATCCAAATACTACAATTAAAAGCTTGCTAAAAACCTTTTAAAAGGATTTATGTTTATTATCTAGTAGATTTATTATTTTTGCGATTGGTTAAAAAAAGAAAAAAACAGTGCAAAAATATTGACATGTATGTGTATAGTAGGTAAATCAAATAATTAATAAGCGTTTATGCACAAAGCTTGATTTTCTAGACTAGTGTAATCTATTTATGTTTAAACTAACCATTGTAAAACCCGTATTCCGGCACTTTGTAAAAATGTGGGTTGTTTAGCTTATAAAAGTCGTAGGCGACATAGAACTGATAATCGGGTTTGCTGCTCAAACTTTCATCCCAAGGCTTTAAAGATTCGAAATGCGGGACCGCAACATACTGGGTGATGTTTTCTTCTGTGCCTTTGTTTAGAGAGTTTACTTGCTAAAAAAAAACACTTGGTTAATAAAAAATATGTATATATATATTGTACGAAATATGAATATTTTTAAAATTGAAAACGCTTGTATATAGAATACTTGTGTATGGTAAAAATAAACATTTTTGTATTTTTTTTTGAATTTTTTTTAAATTCCTTCGACCGCTCCAAATCCATTCTAAATATAAAAATTATAATATTCAGATGGAGGTAGAAAAAAGTTTAATTTTTTTTTCGAGCCAAGATGTTATTTTTAGCATAATTAACTTTTACAAAATAACGTAATTTGATTTTCAAAAAAAACAAGCTAATATTTCAGATTAAGAGGGGATCCGCAGATTCGGTTTGTTTTTTCTTGAAAATCAAAGTGTCTAATTTTGCCAAAGTTACTAATGTTTAAAATAAACAAAAATATATTTATCTTTAAATTCCTTCCACTGCCGCATATGGCAAACATAAAAATTAAAATGTTTGAGCTGGAGCAAAAAACGGTAGTAATATAATAAGGATGCTAATGGTTTTATAACAAGTTAAAGGTACTTCCTTAGGGTCCATAAAAAAGCACCTGAAACTTTTTTGTTCTAAATTCTGAAGACTAAAAATAATTTATAATAACCTTTATCCTACCAAAAAGTACGCCACTGATTGACTAGGAACTTTAGGCTAATCTGGTTGCCTAAATTAATTTATTATGTTATGGTTGGTAACAAACAGCATTCCAGATTCTGTCAAAAAAGTCCAGATTTTGTTTAAATTTAGGTTGATTACAAAAATGAAAAAATCAACAATGCAATTGTTTATTTGGCGTTTTAATTAATTGTTGATTATGTTATTTTTGTAATGAAGGTAAATTCAAAAAAATCTGGCAACTTTTATGACAGAATCTACCATTAATTAGTGCATTTTTTCAAATTTTAGGTTATGTGCTCAAATTGTAAATATCTTAACTAGGGAAGTGCTTTTGGATTTATTTACACAAATTGAATGTTTAAAGTTTGTCCTAATTTCATCTTGGTAAACAAAAAGAAAAAACCGAAAAAATTAATTTTGTGATTATGGAGTTTTTAAAATAGGTATACTAAATTTTCTAATTTTCTAAGCTAATAACTGGATGAGTAAATAAAAACAGAAGAGTATTAGGGTCAAAATCATAAAGTTGAATAATTCACTTCGGGAAAAAAAATATTGCTGGAATTACATTTAAATATAACAAAGTGTTCTTAAAATCATACATTTTGTTCGTAAATATTGGTACACTAAGTATTTTAAGCAATTTATATTATTATATTATATATTTTTAACTTCAGTATACATAAAAAGTCATTTTGGGAACACGTCCACAAACAATTTTTTATAATTCAAGTAAGTTTATAAACTATAAAAAATGCAATATTCACTTTTTTGCGGTGCTTTGTAGAAATTATTATGACCTATTTTTATTACTCAAGGGTTATAATGCTCAATTTATTAAAATTGTAAATTTTCTGCGTTTTCAAATGTTGTCCGTCAGTTTAAAAGTCATTTCATGAACGCCCCTATAATTTTGCAAAACAATGCGAACTAGTTGCGCTAGATGGCGCTAGTAAGCAATGTTGTCAAGTGTTGTCAACAAAGAAGTCAGTGTTTTTGTAATTTTTTCTAGTTCAGTAGTATTTTATCTGGTAAGTACTTTTTATTTCATCATCTGTGTAGCGTACTTTAATTGCATGTCATTACGAGAACGTCATCTTGCTTTTATTTAGCCGATAACATTATGTATTTTTTGCGTTTTTTTAAAAATATGTTGGCTTTTAATTAATAACCTTGGTAGCCGGCATTTAAGATGGCGTCATTCCAGTATAAAGAAATATATTATGTCAAATCATCATTTCTGGAACGGTCATGTCGGGAACGTCCTCGGACTATGACGGATGTTCCCAGAATGATGAATTCGTGTTTAGATCTTTACAACGGTTGATTTTGTTGTTTTACGCCAATTTTGTGTTTGTTTTCAGCGACAAGATGGAGGAAGATAAAAATAAAAAGAAAAAAAATACCAAAAAGCAGATAAACAAAAATAGTTCAGCTTATTTGAGACAACGAGAAAAGGCTAAAGCAAGGAAACGCAAATTTCTAAAAAAAATGACATTCGAGCAAAAAGAAATAAAAATAAAACAAGATAGAGAATCCTATCAAAAAAAAAAGCCGAAAAAAAAATTAAATCTATAAGTGAAATGACCGAACAAGAGAAAAAGCAACAGAGAAAAGTATGGAAGAAAAATTCACAGAAATATAGAGAGAAAAAAAGATTGCTGGCAAATATACTAAATAATAGCCCACCAGAAACTGTTAATAAAAGCGAAAATAATTCTGGTTCTTATGCATCACGAAAAAGTTTAGGAAGAAAAACTGTGAAAAAAAATATATCCAAGGCATACAGAACTATCAAAAAACAAAAAACTCAAATCAGCAGTATGCAACGAAAGATAGACAGTCTGCGAAAAAAACTTGCAAGAAATAAACGACACGCAGAGAGAGAAGCAAAGAAAAACATTGATTCGCCTAATAGGAAGGTCAATGAGTTAATTAAAGACTGTTATGTTACTCCTGAAATAAAAAATAAATTATTGTTTGGTGAGGTTTTAGTATCTCAACTAAAAGAGAACTCTGACAAGTTAGCGAAAAATTCTAAAGAAAGGGAGGCCTTTCAGAAGTGCGTGAGTGGCAGTATAATTAAAAAATATCGCTTTAATAAAGTAGCCCGAATTTTTTTGCCGAAGAACAAGGACAATAAAAATATTTTAGTTTCTGACAGAAAGCCACCAACATTTCTAATCAGTAAAAGTGTTCGTGAGAAAATTCAGACTTTTTTTGAAAAAGATGACGTTAGTAGAATGTGTCCTGGTAAAAAAGACTGTGCCAAAGGAGGCAAACAAAAGCGTTTGCTTTTAGATAGTGTAAAAAATTTACAAGCTAAATTTGTCACTGAAACGGCAATTAAATTGTCCTATGCTTCTCTTCTAAGAGCAAAGCCATATTGGGTTGTGCCTCCCAAACAAAAAGATCGCGACACTTGCTTATGCGTAAAACATGAAAATTTTCAGTTCAAACTAAACAAGCTCTACAGATTGGGTGAACTGAAATACAATTCTATATCAAAATTGATCCAAGCATACAGCTGTGACGGTGCCTCGTACGATTGTATGTTTGGTATATGTTTGACTTGCAAAAAAATTGAAATGGACCCCGGCAGCAATAAAGATACAGTAGATTATTGTCAGTGGCAAGTAACAAAAGCAAAAGAAGACAGAATAATTAAAGGAGAGACAAAAGTTGTAAAGATTACTAAAAAAGTCACTGTTACAAGCTCAGTGAAAGATCTAAAAAAATCCATAGCTGAAGATATTTTTCACATAAAAAACATGTTTATTGTATAAACGAAAACTTTAAGGCAAAACGAGAAGTTCAAGATGCATTAGATGAGACCCAGATTATGGTACAAATTGATTTTGCTGAAAATTATATGACTAAATATGCGAAAGAAATACAGTCTACTCACTTTGGAGCATCTAAAGGCCAACTTACCATTCAAACAGGCGTCTTTTACTTGAAAAATAATGATTTGCTACAGACTGGCACGTTCGCAACTGTAAGCAATAATCTTGACCATCAGGCCCATGCTGTTTGGGGCCACTTAAAGCCCATTCTACAAAAACTTTTAAGTACAAGAGAAGGTGTCCAAACTCTACATATGTTTTCAGATGGTCCTACGTCACAATATCAAAACCGTACAAACATTTATTTATGGATAAAAACTCTGATAGACCATTTTCCAAAAATTACATCGGCAACTTGGACTTACAGCGAGCCTGGACACGGTAAAGGGCCTATGGATGGTGTAGGGTACTAAAGAAAAGAGCTGATGATTACGATTTAAAAGGAAAAGATGTTCAAACAGCTGCAGATTTTATCAATTTGTTTGAAAAGTCAACGGTTTTAGTTCAAGAAGTTACCAACGACAAAATCGTAGCTGTAAAGAACTCAGTGCCTAAAAAATTGGATGCCATACCTGGTATAATGAATGTATCTTAGATAACGTGGCAGAAAGCATCGGACGTATCGATATCGTTGTATCAGCACGTTAAATTTTTGAAGAAAGTAAAATTGGATACTTTTGCAAGGACTATCCAAAATAAAAAAGCAGAAGTTCCTATAGACATGGGCGTTTCACAAGAACTACTGTCTTTTAAATTTAATAGAGCAAGCATTTACCATGATGTTTATGGTTTCAGCAGTTCAGATGAAAATTTGCAAACGATTTCGGATCGACTCCATAAACGTGATAACGAACTTCATACTGGTACATCCTACGGCCAAGATTTGGAGAATGTACATCCTAACTTAATTTGCCCTACGACATTTTTGCTCATAAACGTACCAAACAAAATCAAAAACGTTACATATAGATACGCTGCAATTGCAAACACCTCAGTTGATGAAGGAGGTGAAGTTAAAGTTACCTTTTTAAGTTGTCAGCGTAATTCGGCCAAGATGTTTAAAATTGAACAAAAGAACGTTTCGTATATTGCTTTTGACCAAATAGTAAAAATTTTACCGACCCCTCAATTGCATAAAAAAGGCAGATGTGATTTTTATTGTTTTCAAGAAGACATTGATATTTTTGAGAAGTAAATACTTTTTGCTTCCTATTTACTTTTAATTAATTACCCATTTAAGAATTTTGTTTGTTTATAATAAATATATAAAAAATACTGTGTAATATTGTAATACTTATGATCTCTATTAGTTTTATTTGTATGGTGCAATTGACAAAAGTGTTTTATAATTACATACAATAAAGGTTTGATTTTGCTGAGGTGTGTATTATTTGAGCCATTTAACATTACATCTTAACTGTTAAGTAATTAAAGTTAAAGAGCTCAGTCTAAGGGAATGATAACCAATGTGTATCAATAAACATTGCAGTTAACACATTTTTGCTGAGCATGTTAAGTAAGTTTAGTGCACTAAACTTACTTAACATGTTCATCCACAAGCTCTCCAATTGTGAGTTAGAAAACGCCGTCGTCATTCAGGGAACATCACTTTTATTTACGAGAATGATGAACAAAACAAATAATTCACTATTTACATATCGTTTAAAATTTCTATAAAGATAAATAAATATTTTACCAACTTAAAACTTCTATATGACTTAAATACTTAGCCCCTTATGATAAAAAACAAATTAAAGTTAATCTTTATCAACTATTTCCGGCCTAATAAAATTAACTTTATACAATTCCATACAGAACATTTTAATCTCATTTTCTTTGATTAATAATTATTATTGCATATTTTACAATTTTAAATAACCAATATATTGATACATTCTAAACATCATAATTTTTTAATTATTAAAAACCTTTCCCAAAATGACTAATATTTGTCTCATATTCACGATTTTATGCAATTACTGTAAAAAAAAATAACTTTTTTGGTTGGCCATTTTCAAACTAATTTTAGGACACATGGTGCTCAATTTGTAAATTAAAAGTAATGCTTAAACATAAGTTTTTTTTTATTTCATTTGGAATCTGAAAATGCTCACCTCTCTGATTTTGACCCATTAGATCTTTAAGGGCATAATACTTTTGTATTTATTAAGTTTTTATTTATTTTTTGCAAGAAAAAATTTAAGTAACAATTTTTTACAACTGGTTTCTATGTACTCACAGAACACAAGTGTGTGACCAGTGGCGTATCACAAAAAATATAAAAAACATATGCATATTTTATCTTTATATTTTTTTATATATTTTTTTCGTTACACCTTATGTCTAAAGGCATTCAGTATTTTAATATATTACATTAATTACATAACACCCTGTATATTCTTGTATATTCTTACAAAGATAAAGATTAACGAAAGGTATAATTTTTCTTACCACTCCTTCGTTGTGCGAATTATCATAGTTAGGGTCTCCGTCAGGGTAGGCTAAAGCTGTGACATTAGCTTCTTTGTAGTGAAGAACGGCAACCTGGTGGGCCCTGGTGAAGCGCTCATCGCAGTCCATTAATCCCCGAAATCTTATCCAGTAAAGCCCTTCCGGTTGGTTGGCATTTAAAACAAAATCAAATCGCTCCCCAGCGTAAGTGACAAGTGATGTTGCTAAAATAATAAGTGTCTTAGAGATAATCTATCATTTATTTCTGCTTTTTTGAACAAACATAAAGTTTATATTTTGGTCGGAGTTCAATAGGTGCACCCTTCTATTATATATGGGTATATTTTTCATTTGAAGAGCTTTAAAGTCGGTTAAATTAAATTAAATAAAAGTTGCATTTAGTCTTTTAAAATGGCATTTAATAATTAAAAAAAATATGCGATTCCCTGGTTAAAATGTCACATAGAGACCCTGTTCAAACAGATAGATTTTTGTGTGGTGTTTCTATAGGGTGTATGGGTATGAATAGGACCCATACTTGGGGTTTATAGTTGTTCAATAGGGATATCCTTCCTTGTTTTCTATCGGTCTCAATAGGGAAAATACCCATAAATATAGTTTTTCTTCCATAGGACCCCATAGGTTTTAACAAAATTTTGTCAAATATTTTATGGTTGCTCTATAGGGATATCCATATACAGGGTGTCCCATAATTAGCGTGCAATTCTTTAACAACAGTATCTATAAAAATAAAATAGGTCGAGAAATGATTTCCAAGGGAGCTACAGCCCCCGAAAGAGGAGACCCTGAAGATGGTTTTATTTAATATCTCCAAAACCGTTTAGGATAGAAAAGTGAAATTTTGGGATATAATCAAACTTTTTATAGCCAATAATTTGGAATGACAACAAATTCAAAATTTTCATAAGGGGTGCTGCTGTTAAAGTATTGCACGCTAATTATGGGACAACCTGTATATCCTTCCTTGAGGTATTTGCTATCTGTCTCAATAGGGGAAATGTAGGTGTTATGGTGTACCTATAGGTAATTTCCTATAAATTTTCTATCGGGCCGTATCCGTAAAAAAATATGGACACATGCACATATTGAGTCCGTTACAGCCAGATAGATTATTTTTATGGGTCTCTATGGGGTATTTTAAGCAGGGTTGTCAAATAATTTAAAGAGAAACTAAAAACCAATACAACGGGAATCCAACGAAGTATTAAACTACACTATTAAAATAATGATAAATTTACTAAATGTTTACAATTAAAAAATCTTAGTTTCGATAATGACAATTACTATACTGAATCAGGATATTTATAATGTAATGTAGTTGTATTGTATTCTTATTTTTTTTTGTAATTTTACAAGATTAACTAGTAAAAAGTTTGAAAAAAATACAATACTAGACATAAAACTTAAAGTTACTAATTATGGTACCTATACCATAATAAATTATTAGTAGTAATTAGTAACGGCCGATTGACCGATTTTATTATGCACCGTGATTTAAACCAATCATAAAATTCGACTTCTGTCAGAGTTCCAACCACAATTCTTAATTTTAATAATTATAAGTCTCAGTGGCGGCTGGTGGATTTTGGGCACACCCATATCCCAGTTATTAGACATGGGACCCACATCAAATTTATATGAGTTTATAATGACATTATATAGACAAGTTCTGCGCAAGCAGAATTTACATTGAAGTTTGCGAAAAAAAGTTAGTTTTTAAGTGTGCCCCCCAGCCTCCTGTCCCAAATTAAGATAATTCAAATTAAAGTGGTACAATATTTAATTCACTGAAGTTTATCGACAAATTTAAAATTTTATCAAAAAAATTCAAGACGTACAGGTTTTATACCATTTTAAATTTTTATTATTTTCTTAATACACTTAAAAACTAACTTTTTTTCGCAAACTTTAATTTAAATTCTGCTTGCGCAGAACATGTCTATATAATGTCATTTTAAACTCATATAAATTTGATGTAGGTCCCATGTCTAATAACTGAGATATTGGTGTGCCAAAATCCACCAGTCTTATATTTCGATTAACAAATAAAATTGAACAACATTACGCTATGCGCCGGCATGTAAACTTTGATCTCACCAAAAACCTACTTACGTCTTGGCCTAATGACATAAATAAATATTTCCCAATATATTCCTTTATAAAAACATTAGTCAGCCTTTGATGTAATTAGATTTAATTAGCTGTTGTTTTTTTTTAAGAAAAAATATAACACGCTACTGCTTTTTATTTCTTTTGATATTTGTTTAAGATGAAACAGTAAGCAATGAAACTTTTATTGTCTCGTTGCCGTTTTTTGCATACTCCACTAAAATTTCCATAGAAACCATTCAATTAAGGCTAAATTTGGCATGTTTCGGTTAAAAATCAAAACTAAAAACGAACTTTGTTTTTATTAACTAAATTTAACAAATAATTTTGTTACTGGGTCTACAAAAACGTTTGTAAAAATAAGGTCCTTATCGAAATTTTAAGAATTATGGTGGAATTATTGACATAGGATTTTGTTATTAAATCTACAAAATGTTTGTTATAATTACAAACTTCTTATTTAATTAGCATTTAACAGATTACAGTTGGCTGTAAAACTAACATACGAGGTGTGTTCAGAAAATAACGGGAATTGTTAAATTTCGCGGTTTCGGAGGGTCCGGTTGTCATAAAATTTTCTTTATTATGTTGGTATTTATACATGCCCCCGAAGTATGATAAAAACTGTATCTGTTTTCATTGTTTACTTTGTCTGTTGCAGCCGCTAAGGTTAGACTTGTTTTATGAGCTCGGCGATTTTTCGTTCGTTAAAAGAAATGAATCAAAGAATTTGTATCCAATTTGTTCTAAAATTGTTAAATTTTGAACAAAATTTTTGGCCAAAAACAATACTGTAATAATGCCCCAGCCTCCATATTTGCCAGACATGCCTCTGTCTGACTTTTTCCTATTCCCAAAAATAAAGAGAACCTTAAAGGGCCGTCGTTTTGCAAGCATAGATGACATTAAAAGCGCATCGCTGAAAGAACTAAAGACTATCTCAAAGATCGAGTTTTAGAAGTGTTTCGAGTATTGGAAGAAGAGCTGGCACATGTGCATAATATCCAATGGGGACTATTTTGAAGGCGACAACATTAATGTAGTCGAATTAAGAAATATTTGTTTCAAAAAACGAAAATTCCCGGTTTTTTTTATTATATTATATTATATTATATTATATTATATTATATTTTATTATATTATATTATATTATATTATATTATATTATATTATATTATATTATATTATATTATATTATATTATATTATATTATATTATATTATATTATATTATATTATATTATATTATATTATATTATATTATATTATATTATATTATATTATATTATATTATATTATATTATATTATATTATATTATATTATATTATATTATATTATATTATATTATATTATATTATACTTTCCTAATTCCCAGAATATTTTTTGTCATTCAAAATCAGATTAGCGTTTCCCAAGGAAATCAACATTAAAATTGTTAACTAAGTTAAATTTAAAAAAATAATGTTTATAGTTTATCTCTGAAAACTCACCGGCAAATCATAAGCCTACCTATAGAATTTGGCACCTGATTTTGATTTTGAAGTTTTTGAATAACAAAAATTTTCTGAGAATAAGGAATATAATGAAGGGATCAACTTTAAGTGGGCACCCTGTATATAGTATGTAAATAAGATTAATATTTTACAAATCGGTCTGGCGTTTTCGTAATTAATTTTCTGGAAATGGAATATTTCAGACTTTTATTATATGAAAAATAAAATTTTAATTAAGAAAATTGAACTTAAAAAAATGTTTTCCCTTTAATTGGCTTTTAATTAAGAGTGGTTCAAAAACACTCCATGACGAATTTCTTCGAATATATTTTTTATTCATAATAATTATGTCATTACATAAAATAGTCACGGGTAACCCTTTTAATAACGTACAATAGGGTGCAAGGAAAAATTTTTTGCTCAATTTTAAAAGGTGTCGGTGAGCATTCTAAGTTTTCCATTGAAATAACACGTAAAAAAATCTTTTTTCATTAAAAAAAAATATAACTTTTGAACCGTTTGAGATAAAAATTAAGAGATATAAGCAATTCAATAACCAAAAACAAAGAAAAAAATAGGTTTTATTGAAATTTATGTAATTTCATTCAACAACTATATATTGCTTATATCTCTTATACAAAGCACTTTAGTGATATGAACGTAAAAACCTTTTTAGTCAAAAATTAAATTTTCTACAACTTTTTTATTTGAACTTTTTCGGTAAAACCAGTCATTCGCTCGATTTTCTCAAAATTATGAGAAAAAGTGAAAAAAACGACTTTTGGAGCTACTACAATCAACGTAAATAAATCAAAAACAAAATTGATGCAGGGCCTTTATTATGGTGATAAAAATTATAATTCAAAACCCGGCCAAAATATAGAAATTTAAAGTAAAAATGATTAAAAATACATGCTTTTTATATGGAAAAACTACAAAATTAAAAAAGAAGTACTTAGAATCAAAATTAAGGGCTCAAATTTTCAGGGAATTTTTTTTTCAACCTAAAAACCGAAATTTTCATGTGTCAGCAAGAAAAAAAAAAATTCGTTTTAAATGAAACACCCTAATGAACATTTTTAGTCAAAAACACTAAAACTAAATATTATGATTTTTTTCACTTTTCAAAGCTTTCAAATATACGAATTTTTAAATTGAAAAAAAATAATTCTGGGATAGATTTTGTAGGAAATTTTATGCTCTACAAGAATCCGCGACGTAAAAATTTTTATCTCAAACGGTTCAAAAGTTATATTTTTTTTAATGAAAAAAGATTTTTTTTACGTGTTATTTCAATGGAAAACTTAGAATGCTCACCGACACCTTTTAAAATTGAGCAAAAAATTTTTCCTTGCAGGAAAATTTTTTGCTCGGTATGTAGGTTCATTTTAACCCATAAATCCGATAGGTTAGTTTTTTTGGCTCACCCTAACGTACAATGCTTACCATCGATAGCCTTAAAATCCGATCCGTCGCTGCTAATAACAGTCAAAGTGTGGTTGTCAATTGACATTTCTATAGGGCAATTCAGAAAACCAGCATTTATTAATCTAAACCGATATCTTTGTCCCTGCAAATAAAATATACATTAGAACATAATACATTGGTAATTCATTAATTACAAAGCTATTGAATGTAAACGAATAATTATAAATAAGTATAAAAAATGCTTGCAAATAAATAAACCGCGACCCATATAGTACATTATGTATCAAGTTTGATAAAGCATCGAACCAATGATATAAATTATTTAGCCCTAATTTATTATTACCTATACCAATACCCCCTACATTTATTGTTCACAATTTTTTTCTTTAAAACTTCCAGAAAGTACAAAAATAGGGAAGGATCCCGCAAAGTTTGGGTTAAGCTTTTCTTATTAGCCCAAAACGATTTTGGTTTATACATTTATTTATAATTTAAACAGAAAGCATAAATTAGGCAATTTATTTGTTTATTTATTATACATGTATCATTATAATACTATTATGTGTAGTAATATGGGAACATACTACTACAAACTTAATTGATATAAGTGTTTTGTATCTATTCATAAATTTAACCTTCTTTTTAATATCGCAATTTTTATTAAACAATGGTGTTTAAGTTAATTAATGATTAACTACTAAATAATTCCTTTTTATTTATTTAAATAAATCTTGTTTCGCCCGAATAAACAATACCTTTTATTTCTTGGTTAAATTATGTTAATTTTGTCTTAATATCTTAAAAAAGTAAATTTACTAAAAGAAATTCTAACAGGGTAAAATTTTAAATATATGGGTGATTCTACAAAAGTTGGACAACTTGATGTCATCAGTCAATAGAGTAGGTATTTTAATATTTTTTGTAAATATTTTAGTATACTACAAAAGATCCAGTTTTTTTTAACTTGTCCACCCAATTTTATGTATGTATGTATTTTTTCAAAAGCACGTTTGTAGAAAAACATAATAAATATTTTAAACATCAGTACCTTGGCGTGTCACAACTCCTGAATCAAATATTTGAGTGGTTTTATTTTAAAATATATTCAATTTATCTTAAATTCAAAATACCTGCGAAATATTGAAGTTTAAACGTCAAGTCCTCGTTTTAACTCAAGTGTTGGAAAAAAATACTTACAGAGCCCGCCCTTTGCACGACATTCATCTTGAAAACAATGCGAGCGGCGAAGTTGTGGTGAATGCACGTATAGTTCCAGTCAAAATTTCAAAACTGTGGTGAGTACTCTCTAAAAATGAATTAGTCAAAAGTAACTAATTTAATAGTTAATAGTGGCTGCTTTTTCACTTGTGCCATGGTTAACCATGGAATACCATGGTATCCCAAAATTTAACAGCCAATTCTTATGTAAAATTTTCCCCTGAATCAGAAAATACCGTCAAAATTTAAAAAAATAGAACAGTTTTTGAGATATAGTTAATTCCATATTAAATGGAAAATTGACTACGAGCCCTAACCACTTAATGTTCGGACACTTCATAATTTATACAGAAATTTTTTTCGTGAATACTATCTCACAATTATTAGAAGTTATGAAAAATTCAGCTTATTTTGGCATATACCCCTTGAAGCGATTTTTATTTTTAAAAAGTTTACCTTTTATTTTTAGCTTTTAAAAAAAGGCTAACTTTTTAACTTTTTTTTGCATGAGTAAAAAAAGTTATAAATGGGCCCATTAAAAAGAACATAAAATATTATACAAACCCTGAAAATTTGGTAAAAATTGTATAAATAATAAGAAAGTTATAGCGATATATATATCTGCAAAATCTCCCGTTTCCTAAGAAAATTGCAAAAACTCTTTAAAAATAGCATTTTTAAATTACTTATACTTTTTTATAACTTATTTATTTTTTACCAAATTTTCAGGGTTTGTATAATATTTTATGCTATTTTTAATGGGTCCATTTATAACTTTTTTTACTCATACAAAAAAAAGTTAAAAAGTTAGCCTTTTTTTAAAAGCTAAAAATAAAAGGTAAACTTTTTAAAAATAAAAATCGCTTCGAGGGGTATATGCCAAAATAAGCTGAATTTTTCATAACTTCTAATAATTTTGAGATAGTATTCACGAAAAAAATTTCTGTATAAATTATGAAGTGTCCGAACATTATGTGGTTAGGGCTCGTATATCTCAAAAACTGTTCCACTTTTTTAACTTTTGACGACTTTTTCGGATTCAGGGGAAAATTTTACATAAGAATTGGCTGTTAAATTTTGGGATACCATGGTATTCCATGGTTAACCATGGCACAAGTGAAAAAGCAGCCACTATTAACTATTAAATTAGTTACTTTTGACTAATTCATTTTTAGAGAGTAGTTAATTTCTTACGTTTATATATTTCATTGTAATTTATATAAGGCTATATGTGATTTGTTGATAAGTAGCATCTACTAATAAAAAAATATCAGTAAAATACTTAATTCCGAATTAGAATCTCTAATTTGTATCCCATTCATCAGTACCACGTCAGTTCCATGTTCGATGTTTCGGTTATCTTTTTTTTGCAAACTTCAATTTAAATTCTGCTTGCGCAGAACTTGTTTATTTAATGGCATTATAAACTCATATAAATTTGGTGTGGGTCCCATATCTAATAATTGAGATATCGGTATACCCAAAATCCACCAGTCGCCACAGATGTGTGGTATTATTTGATTTTGAGATATTTAATGTATAATATGCTCAAAGTTGCAATAAATCTTATATTTTCCAATATATTATGTATTTAATTAGTCACTTCCCTTGCATTCAAATTTAGAAAATACAGTTATTTCAGAAACTGTTTGAAAAAGTGACTGGCCAGGTCTGGATCAGTATATTTATTATATTATCTGTTCTCATAACAAAATACTGTTTAATTTTCTCCGAAAACTATACACATGATCAAAATTGTTGCATATTTCTGTATTTTAATTTTCGCTTTGTATAACATTATTTTTTGTTGTTTTGGAATAAATTTTCATTTAATAGTTATAATACGTAAAATAAAGAAAATTTAATATATTAAAGTATATATTTTTGTAGGAAATATTAAAAATAAAACTTAATGTAATTTTTAAAAAGTGAAAAAAATTTATTAACCGAAACGATTTTAAATATAAATTTTATTTATAGAATGAAGGTGATTATTTTCTCAAAATTGTTTATAATTGTAATGTACACTATGTATTTTATTGTCAATAATTTATTTATCTAAATACTGTCGTCAAAGTAATCATCCTCGTCGGAACTATCGTCTTCGAGGAAGATGATTGGTTCCGGTTATTTTTATTATTTCCTACAAAAATACTTCAATATATTAAATTTTCTTTATTTTACGTATTATAACAATTAAAAGAAAATTTATTCCAAAACAACAAAAAACAGAACGTTATACAAAGCGAAAATTAAAATACAAAAATATGCAACAATTTTGATCATGTGTGTATATAAACAAAATGAGGTCAAAAGTTGCCCAACTTTTGTAGAATCACCCATATAATTGTTTATTTGACTAGATTAATTTGTTTACAACTTTACCTGTTCGACATAAAATCTTGCAGTAATATTTAACTGCTCTCCGATTACATGCCATTCGGGCGTGTTCAGCGGAAATCCGTACCCGTTGATCAGCAAGGTGGCTGGTTTGTTGTCTCCGGAGCTGTGGTGATGGGACACGAACGTTTTCATGGCGATGTTGGCGTCCCAGTCGATGAGCACGACCTCATGTTCGCTTAAATCGTGATCGAAAAGCAGGCTGTGGGGATCATCTTCGGCGGGTTGCCGGACTATTAAGCTTCCGTAAGCTCCGTCGGCCCTTTGAACACCTTAAAAAATTGGTTTGTTTAACAACGTGTAATATTTTTTTACTGGTTCTTTGACAATCTAGGATTTAATATCAGTAACAATTTTTTTAATAAAAATTAAATAAAATTACAGCAATATCTAGGAAATACTCAAAAAACTACTAACAAATTAAAAAATACGATGTCAGGAAATTGTAAAAACGAAGTTGAGAAATATTTTTTAATTGGGGTAATTTAATTTATAAAAGGTAAAAATAATAATAGTATCAAGGCATTATAATGCCTTGATACTAAGGTTGTATTAATTATTAAATATTTCCTGATGAGCAGAACAGTTATAAAAAAAAGTATTATTCTAATTATATATCTTAAGTTGCCTTCACTTTAAATATATAGATAATCAAGGTTAGAAAATAAAAAGTTTTTGTACAATATAAATATTATTGACTATGGTGCGAACTTATGTATTATTAGTTAAATAATACCTACATATAGTAATTTTTTCTACTCCTATTGTGTTTTTGGTACTGACATAAAGATCATGGAATACCATATAAATTCAGATCTACTTAAAATATTTAAATGGTGAGTCAAACCACGTCAAGTGGGACCAGAAAATTTCACGAAATCACCGATTTTGAAAATAATCACATTATTGTGTAGTAGGCATGACTCATATGTCACAGTAAAAAAATTGTTTTAAAATTCGTTTTTTTGGTAATGTTATTAAGGTTGACAATTTTGTCAAACTTTAGAGCACGGTAAAATTGAAAAAATAGAATCTCTGGGACCACTCTGTATAATTGAATTAAATTTTACACACTATTGTAGAAATGTTTAGAGTATATAATGATCATTTAATTAAGGTTAATTTGTTTAAATAAAAGAATTTTGCATACATTTATTATAAACAATTGAAATTTTGTATGTGTTCTTCACGCTGAAAAAAAATTAATCTTGTGTCATAATATGCGGCAAACGTTTCCGTTTAATAGGATGTACTCAAAAATTTGCCTTTCATATGTCATTCCGGAGATATTAATTTTTTTGTCCCGCTGTGCGCTTGATCAGTACGCGGCGCGCTTCGCTGCTAGCTCGTCAGCACACGGTGTGCCTGAACGAAGTTTAAGTCACATAAAAATTCCGCAGTTTCTTGTTCGGGACCCTTTGGTGACTTAAAAATGATATTTACCAAAATCCTAGCTGCTCCTCTTTTCGAAATTTTTTGAAAAATCTTTTTTCTGCATTATGCTTTTTACTATATAAAAAAGTGATTTTTGTCTAACCCTGTATAAATCTAAGCATATATATAAAAACAGTTTCTCTCGTTTACAATATCGGTGTACAAATGTGTACTCTGGCAAAGGTAGACTTTGCTATAAACAAATAATTTTAAAAAAATTGAATTTTTTACAAATTAAAAAAAAACAGTTAGAATTTTGGTAAATATATTTTTTAACTTCAACCAATTTTTCGTTTTTTAAAATTTTGTAACCTGATAGACCTAGAAATATCTAAAAAAAATTGGGAATAAATATTTTTCGCGTGTTATGCTAAAATCATGAATTTACGCTTTTGCATTATTAAAAATAAGTGATTTTTGGCTAACCCTGTATATATCAAATGATGTGAACAGTATTAAAAAATATTCTCTAAGTCTCCTAAATAATATACTCCAATTTTATAAAAATCCGTGTGCAAATGTGTACTCTGTCAAAGAGATAAACAAAAATTTAAAAAAAAATCATGAATTTTCGAACAATTTCGAAAAGAGGAGCAGCTAGAACTTTGGTAAATATCATTTTTAAGTCACCAAAGGGTCCCGAACAAGAAACTACAATCAGTTTTTGGCGGCATTTTTATGTGACTTAAACTTCGTTCAGGCACACCGTTAAACCGTTCGAGCTAGCAGCGAAGCGCGCCGCGTACTGATCAAGCGCACAGCCGGACAAAAAAATTAATATCTCCGGAATGACATATGAAAGGCAAATTTTTGAGTACATCTTATTAAACGGAAACGTTTGCCGCATATTATGACACAAGATTAATTTTTTTTCAGCGTGAAGAACACATACAAAATTTCAATTGTTTATAATAAATGTTTGCAAAATTCTTTTATTTAAACAAATTAACCTTAATTAAATGATCATTATATACTCTAAACATTTCTACAATAGTGTGTAAAATTTAATTCAATTATACAGAGTGGTCCCAGAGATTCTATTTTTTCAGTTTTACCGTGCTCTAAAGTTTGACAAAATTGTCAACCTTAATAACATTACCAAAAAAACGAATTTTAAAACAATTTTTTTACTGTGACATATGAGTCATGCCTACTACACAATAATGTGATTATTTTCAAAATCGGTGATTTCGTGAAATTTTCTGGTCCCACTTGACGTGGTTTGACTCTGGTTTGTATAACAATTTGAGCATAAACACCGAAAAAACGAAGTACTGCGTATTATCATTTACTAAAATGAATTATAATAATTTTAAGATTTATGGTATAATATTGGCTAATCATGTATGTCTAAAAATACATTAAATTAAATCATTCGGGAAATGATTTTATTTTTGCAAAAATGGCGAATGCACCGGGATGAATATTACTTTTTTGTCGTATTAATACAACGCCGATTGTATTCGCAATAATTGCAATAATTGTATTCGCAAAATATTGTTAATAATTAATGACATTAATTCTCCCGCTGTAAACAATCTTAGATCTTAGTCCCCCTGTATACATTTTCATCAGGTAAGAAAATTTAACGTTCCATTCCCTCCCGCTACCATGACGACGCTACTGTGTGATTAACTTTGAATGTAAACGTCAGAATTAAATTAAACGTTAGAAACTTTCATCATTGGGAGTAATTGCTATGATTCCATGCCCGGTAAAAAATATACTATAATATGTTTATGAGTGTTATAATGTAAAAATTATTATACACTTCAAAAAAACATGTGTGTTGTTTTCTCAATAAAAAATTGTTATATTCCAAATTTGGATCAATTATAGAAACACGTTTGTGTCTTTTTCCGAAAATTCATAATGCGATTTGAAAAGTTGCTCCTAAATTATTTAATTTTTTTACAATTTTCATAATGTTATTTAATAATAAGTAAATATGGGATTTTAGGTTGCCAAATTTATAAAAATGGGTTTTTTCTTGTTTTTTATATTAGGTACGTACTATATGAAAATAAGTAACGGAAAGCAACTTTTAGGTGTTATAAAATGTAATTAATGTTGGTATAAAATTGTATTAAAAAAACTGACGAATATATCATGTAAAAATATTATAATACCATCATAGATTTTTTAATTGTTTTTGTTAATAAGCATACAATTGTTAAAAATAACAAATTCACATTCATTAGGATAGAAATTTAAAAAAAAATACTTTTTCATAAAAAAAACATGAGAATTAAAAAAAAAGATTTTTTATAAAATGTGATAACATGAAATTGATTGGAAAAACAAACCAAATTACCAATCCTGTATACAGGATTGCTGTATACAGCAAAAATAACAACATGTGAATAAAAATTATGTCACCTGAAAACGACAACACCAATATTACAAAAAAGCATGTTTTTTAAGGTAAATTTTGAAAATTTCGTTTATTTCTGTTAATAATTATTATTATTATAATAAGGATTTATGTGAAGTAGGTAAAATTACACTATAGTTTAGGTAGTAAAATGTAAAAATTATGGACCTATACACCGAAAAAAATAATGTACTTAGTTAAGTTAACGTTTTTCTATATGTCATTTTTGAAAATGTTGTTTCATCAAAAAACCTATTGGATTAATCTATATTTTGGTGTCAAAGTAATAGTCAAAGTTTGTCAAAGTTTATTTGTTTATTTGGCAGTTAAAATATTGATTTAACATAAACTAATTTTTTGAATTAAAATGTTTATCCTATTTTGATTTAATAGAGCTATTAAATCAAAATAGGATAAACAATTCCAGCTCTGGAATTGGTTAAATCAAAAACTGAAATTTTTAGGATTACCTAAAAAAACTATTAAATTAACGTTTAGTTGCTCTTTAAATCCAAAACATTTAATTTGTTTATTTAACAAATTGTAAATGTTACTTTAAAATTCATAAAATTGCCGAGAAGGGCGCTTCGAACTCCCACGCCAAGTCATTAGCAGGGCCGGATTAAGACAATTTGTTGCCCTAGGCTAATAATAAAATGGCGCCTATAATAATTATTATAGGCCATGTTAGTATCTATGGTTTTAATATAACACAATACATTTTAGCCGACAGGGGCTAAAAGCCAGTGGTTGTAATTAAATTATTGATCATGCATGCAAATTTTTTTTAAGCGGGGTCGCAGTGCATTGTCGGCACGCGCTGCGGTATAAAGTTGTTGTAAAAATAAAAAAGGGTACTCTCTAAAAATTATTTATTTAATAGTTATTAGTGGCTGCTTTTTCACTTGTACCATGGTTAACCATGGAATACCATAGTATCACAAAATTTAACCGCCAATTCTTATGTAAAATAGTCCCCTGAATCCAAAAATTATAAAAGTGAAGCAGTTTTTGAGATATAGTCAATTACAATTAAATGGAAAATTGAACATATCTTAAAAACTGTTCTACTTTTTTAACTTTTGACGATATTTTCGGATTCAGGGGACAATTTTACATAAGAATTGGGATACCATGGTATTCCATGGTTAACCATGGTACAAGTGAAAAAGCAGGCACTAATAACTATTAAATTAGTCATTTTTGTCTAATTTATTTTTAGAGAGTAGGTATTCCATGTTTAATAATTATAATTATTTAATTTAATTGATTAATTTTAATATTTAACCTACTTAAAAAAATGAGCCTTCTGCCTGAGTGCCTATTGGCTTCGCGGCGCCCTAGGCCATGGCCTAGGTTGGCCTATAGGTTAATCCAGCACTGGTCATTAGACGGTGTTGATCAAGTGATGTTCTTACATCTTCCCTCAGTTGGCTTACGATAGGAGAATAAAAGCTCAGGTACACAGAAAAAAATCTAACATAGTACCAAGAACAGCGCTGTCATTATAATTTATAAATGCATTAAAATTGAAGCAATCTAAATTGTTATTTGCTCAATTAATTACTATTAAACCAAAATAGGGAAATATTTTGCCTAAATGTCAAAGAATTTATTGCGTTAAATGTATACATAGTATACATACAATAGTAAAGTTATTAAATAAATCAAATTAGTATTTAATACAATAACATTCTACCATTCTAACAAATAAATATCAATATGAATATCAATAGATTTAGGAGCGATAACTTTTGTTGTTAATTTAAAAACAGTAAACGATTATAAACCAAGTGCTAACTACCTATTGGTATTATAGGAACTGTTATTCAGGAATACGGATTACAAGATCCCATTGGTTTAATGGCTCACCCATTCATGCTATGCTAGTGTTTTTTCTGTGTAGCCGTTTGTTTTGGGTGTGTTCCACAGTGGAACTTCCACTACACCAAATTGCCCGACACTGATTATAATTATCAGTGACTGACAAGACCGGTCGAATCAGCTGTCTGTCCGTAGGTATTTGAAGTAGGTGGAACGCACTCAAACCAAAAAATCTGGCGAGGGAAGGTTCAATTCTTTCTCTTTATATTAATTCCATAATTTAATTAACCCAACATTAGCGCAAATTAAATTTGGTCACTCTCCTCTAATGTAGAAACATTAAAATGACTTTGGTACCATAAATACGAGCCCTAACCACATAATGTTCGGACACTTCATAATTTATACAGAAATTTTTTTCGTGAATACTATCTCAAAATTATTAGAAGTTATGAAAAATTCAGCTTATTTTGGCATATACCCCTCGAAGCGATTTTTATTTTTAAAAAGTTTACCTTTTATTTTTAGCTTTTAAAAAAAGGCTAACTTTTTAACTTTTTTTTGTATGAGTAAAAAAAGTTATAAATGGACCCATTAAAAAGAGCATAAAATATTATACAAACCCTGAAAATTTGGTAAAAAATAAATAAGTTATAAAAAAGTATAAGTAATTTAAAAATGCTATTTTTAAAGAGTTTTTGCAATTTTCTTAGGAAACGGGAGATTTTGCAGATATATATATCGCTATAACTTTCTTATTATTTATACAATTTTTACCAAATTTTCAGGGTTTGTATAATATTTTATGTTCTTTTTAATGGGCCCATTTATAACTTTTTTTACTCATGCAAAAAAAAGTTAAAAAGTTAGCCTTTTTTTAAAAGCTAAAAATAAAAGGTAAACTTTTTAAAAATAAAAATCGCTTCGAGGGGTATATGCCAAAATAAGCTGAATTTTTCATAACTTCTAATAATTTTGAGATAGTATTCACGAAAAAAATTTCTGTATAAATTATGAAGTGTCCGAACATTATGTGGTTAGGGCTCGTAGAATTTAAAAAATTGTAACTTAAATGTAATTATTAATTAATCAAAAACACATTTTAGAATGTGTGAAAAAAACGAGTTATACCTTAAAGCTCATAAAACTACAAAAAACAGGAAGGAATTGTAACATATTTTAGGGTCTTTGCATTGTTGCATAACAAGACATTTATTTTTTAAATGTAACGATGTAAACAAAATTAATTCATAAAAATGTGAAAAAAAATATTCATAAAAAATTACCATTTTGTCCAAGTTAATATTATCCCTAAACCAAACCAATAGATGACTATCTTAAAGAGAATATAGTTTGGAGCCAAATAAAGCGCCCTCTCTGAACTTGGTTAAAAATTAAATTACGTGTTTACAGGCAACTGTAGCCAACATAGCTTTTAATTTGTGGAAAATCAAGGTATTTGATTGGTTACTTCAATGGCGCTATATTTAAAATCTAACTTGTGGCTAGATTTTAAATGTAATGTAACGAAAACAATAACTTTGTTTTTTTACCATGTATTTAAGGTACTTTGTGGTTATGCTGTTTAGTAAGTCTCAAGCAACTTTTATAAACTAAATAAATTCACAGATTTATGTGAGAGCAATGAAGTAGTTTATGTAAATGTAAAAAAAGTGTATTTAGTATTACCTAGTATTTATTTGTAAAATCTGTGATTTTTTTAATTTGTAAAACTCGTTGAATCATTATCATACTTATTTCCAAAAGTAGGTACCATTCATATGGTAAGAAACATTGTTTTTGTTATTTATAATAGCCTATCAAAAGTAACTGTCTCATTGATCAATATTTTGAAATTTAAGAATACTTTTAAATTCATAAATTCTATTAAACAATACTACACTATCTGAAAGATTATGATGCGGTCAAAGTGTCGTTTATAAATTATTATTATAATACAAACCTTAGAAACAATACACAATAGAATCACACAAATACACAAAATATTACAAAAATGCAATAACTACGGATATAATTGAACGTAAAAAAATTCAAAAACGTCAAAACGTCAAAAAAATTTAAAATCCTCTTGGCTTGGCTAAATATTATAATACTGTCCCGACATTCGACATAGGATATTTATCTATTGGTTTGGTCTAGGATATTATCCTCCCTTAATAAAAGATAATCTAATTAAATATATATTTTGTGTTCCTTACCACTATGTGAATGCCAAAAATGCGTTCCTGGCTGTTCGGCTGCAAACTCGTATCGAAAAGTCGACATGGGCATAATGGGACATTGCGAAATATATGGTACCCCATCCATGTACGGGTTGCTCTTCTGGTGCAATCCATGCCAATGAATGGTGGTTGTTTCACTGTTCAACATATTTACGACATCCACAATGACTTGATCACCTTCACAAACCTAGGAAAAACAGAGGTAAAGAGAAAGTTGTAAAGAAGAGTTAATTAATAAGTTGGGTATAACACATCAAATATTAAAAATGTTACTACTATCTACCCGCATGTTTTTGATAATGTTTTATTTTAATTATATATTGCAAAATCAGACTTCTAATAAAAATCGATTGTTCTAATTCTTTAGTAGAGCAATATTAAAATATAATTTAAAATATTTTGTTTTCAGTAAATATATAGCATATAATTATGATAAAAGGTCATTTCTCATATAACTTGTTCCGATGCTGTACCCACCTATTTTTGTGAAAACTAATTCTCGCTCAAGTTTTTTTTCAGTGTAATGAGCTTGTAGCATTTTAAGGTAATGGGAACTTAAATTATGACAACCTTAACCTAATACTTTTTTTTTAAATGCAGGCTTTATGTGGCAAATGTCACGTAAGTTACCGGTCACCTACTGCAATATCCTAACATCGATGAATATTTCAATAAAATGGCTGTTAAAACAATTAATGTTAGTGCTTAATTAACTAAAAAATAGGCTTAAGATTAACAAAAAAATATTTTATTGCCTTTAGAGTACTAAAAGTCGATTTTATTTTGGGTTTTCATTTCACCCTCATGTATTGGTCACATATGTTACCCTGTAATTTAGGGAATATTGTTCCAACTTGGCAGCACTGAAGTGACAAATTGTTTGGGTTTTGTCAACGCGCAAGTTTTATTGTCAGTGTCAGTGTCATTATAATATTTATATGTCATCAAATAAAATAATAATAAAAATCCAAGTGCTACAAACAAGTAAGTATGTTTAATATAGGTCACTTAAGTTGTTGAATTTATTAGTTTACTGTTGTAATCTCAACGGCTTTTACTTTAGAGACATAATCTAACAATATTAGTCTTAAACTTAGGCCAAGTTAGCTTGTTTGCGTTTCTGTCTAGGGCAGCATTTTTAAATTTAAAGGCCGAATGTCACATAAGTTACCGTCACATACGTTACTGCTTCTGCTGGTAACTTAAGTGACCATTTGGTAACTTATGTGACAAAAAGTAATTGTTTAGCTCATCTGACGTTTTGTGTTATAATTTTAAACAGGTAAAACATGGGTCTAACTTCAGCTGAGAAACAAAGAAGATATAGAGAGCGAATTAACGCAGATCCTAAAAAAAGAGAGGAATATTTGAGGAAAATGAGAGAAAGAGCGCAGAATCGACGAATTACAAAGATTATGTTGCAATGGGCATAAATACTGTTATTTTCTTTTTATGCTTGAGTTACATTTAATATTACTAATTAGTTTACTTAAGTCACATAAGTTACCTTTATATAACTTTGCGTTACTAAATTCGTTTTTCTCAAATTCAGTTGTTTTTTTGCGTTATAACTAATCAACTAGGCATATTTTGGGAATTCGTATTGTAGATATTAGATAATAGCGGTTTTAATAAAAAAACTACATATATTCCTCGCCTAAAGAAATTATATTCTCTTGTAACTTATGTGACAAGTCACATAAGTTACCGTTAATCTTTAATTAGAAAATACTTTAAAAAATCAAAATTATGTACTGCTGGTCGTAGCCTTAGATCTAATAGGACCCATACTTTGATATGACCACAAATTTAACTTATTTAATGAATATAGGATTTTTTGATATTCGATATTCGACATGCACAAGTTATCTGAGATATACCCAAAAATGTTCTTTAATTGAAATAACAAAGATAAAAATTAAAAGTCAAAAATGACAGATTACAGGTGACAGATATTAAAAATGACAAATAACAGACGTCTGTTAACCCAGCTGGCAACCCTTTTAAAAGTATTTTTCGAGAGTTAAGAATTATGAATTTTTAAAATATTTTAATAGTTTGTCCTGGTCTCTAAGCAATGTTGCGAAATTTTTAAGTAATTAAATGTACCAACACAATTTTACATTATTCGTAATACCAGAGTTACAGGACTTTTCCTGCATCTCACCTGACAACATCGTAATAATAAAACTTACCTCGATGGCTGTACCAGGCATTTTTCTATTAACTACCAAAACAGGCCTTTGGAACCCATCAGCTGGTATACAATCCAATCGAAAGCAATCTTCGTAATTATATGGGCAATCGTAGCATGCTTTGGACAAAGTCGTGTACCATTCGACGTTAAAAGTGAATCGGCATACCATTGGTGGTGCACCCTTAATGCATTTTCTGTTGCATGGGTTTTCTTCATTTAGCAAAACGTATTCCAGTTGAATATCTGAACTGTTGTCTAAAAAATTATTTATTTTAAACCAATTAAAAAAATAATTTTTAAAATAATCAATCAAATATTGTAGTCTTCTTCAGTATTGTAAATTTTGATTAAGGTGATAGTGATTGAGATAAATACATTTAGAAAAGACACAATCCATTTGTTTATTAAAATAAAGATACTGTAAATTAACTACAAATTATAAAAATACAATTTACTAACAGTTACTTACTAACTTTTTTCTACTCCCACCTTTAAAACGCCCTTTATCGTACATGTTTCCATGACACTAAGCGACCTTTTAAATACACATTGACAAGTTGTGGCTTTATGGCGCATTAGTCACGGGCTGAAGTTAGCAACAGGTTTTTAGTTACGGACTGAAGTTAGTTTTAAGTTAGTTGACAGTTGACAAATGTCATACAATCGTTAAAATAAATTGCCTTTCTTGTAAAATAATAGGTACTAAATGTGTAATACAAAACTAAAAAAGTATTAAATAGTTTCTCAACGCCAATTTTGGAAAAATTTATATGAACATTGTACTGACCTTTTAATTTCGCCGGCAGTAAACTATAATTCGGACACGGACTCCACTGCAGTGAAAAGAAAATGTTTTATGAGCACTTTACATGTAAAGTGCTCATAAAACATTTTCTTTAATTTCACTGTGAAAAACTGTCAATTTTCAAGAAATTAATTTCGATTTATAACCTTTATAATCTGTGTTTATAAAATAAAAAAAATTGACATTTGACGGTGACACACAGATTCCCGTATTGTTTCATAGATGGCGTTCTATAGAAATTTTTGATTTAAATCATTTTAAGATAATAATAAGTATTTATCGTAGAAAAAGTATAGTATGCACCTCGTTTATAAACTTTTCTATACACTCATTAATTTAAGAACTCGCTCGCAAGCTCGCTCGTGCCTAAATTAAATTCGTGTATAAAATGGCGTTTATCAAACTTGATACATAATATACTATAAGAGATTTAAAAATTCTGACATTCAGGCTTTGGGGTCATCCATAAAATAGGTACTATTGTGGCCGAAAATAAGTAATGAATATTTATTAAGTAGCATGTTTTTTTTTCGATTGCTGTTGTAAATAAGGATTTTTGCTTGAGTTATGTTGGCTAAATAATTTTGACAAGAAATCATTGGTGTAACTAATGTGGTTAAATTTAATTTTTTTAATAAAAAAACTAACTTAAAAAAGCAACTATTGTCGTTAATATTGCCGTTTTCTGCTTCACTTAAAATATTGTAGGTAAAGGTAAAATAAGTAATAAATCTAACTGATTTGAAAATATTGTGCTCAATACGTCACTTGTGAGAAATACATTTACAACTGCCCCAATAGTATGGGGTCTTTTAAGGGGATTTCAGATTCATGTCACAAAGTATGACTCCCTTTTCTTGCGGGAAAGTGGGTGAATACTATGGACGAAAATTTTAAATATCTAAGAATTTAGTAAATACACTCACAGGCAAAATAATCGATCCACACAAATGTTCGATGAATTTCAATCGCAAATAACTTTTTTATTTGAAATCGGATTTAAACAACTATTAAAGAATATTGTAGATAAATTAATGGAGAATTGCTCACATTTTAAAAAATTTCTACAAAATAGATGTACGTTTATAATATACAGGTTTAAACAAAAATATGTTTTTTACCATAAGTTTAAGCTAAAGGCTAAACCGTATATTGTTCTAAATTATGTTTTAATTATCAAGTCACATCTATTTTTAACAGTTTTGTTTTTGGTTCACCTCGATATATTTATTTTTGTGGAAAATATGGATTTTTTAAAAAACATTGCAATTTCCAATATTTTTTCTGTGCAAAGAAATAAGGTTGCTATGGTCCATCCATAGGCTATGGAGGATGACAGTGACAGTTTTGTTGAATCATTCCATACTTGGACATGTCATATACGGCTTTCAAAAGCTATCAAATTGTTTTTTGCAAATTAATGTTTAACTTTTGAGGTGTCTTCTTACTTTTAAAAATGAATTTGTCTCCGACTGATGTTGTCAGAGCCATTGATTTAATTCAGGATGGACGGTCACAGTATTACGTTGCAAGTGTTTTAAACGTTACAAGAAGTTACAAAGTGTACATCAGTCGCACACATACACATTTTTAAAAGTAAGAAGATGCCTCAAAATTAACACATTAATTTACAAAAAACAATTTGATAGCTTTTAAAAGCTGTATATGACAAGTCCAAGTATCTGATGATTCAACAAAACTGTCACTGTCATCCTCCATAGACTATGGATGGACCATAGCAACCTTAGTTCTTCGTACAGAAAAAAATTGCAATGTTTTTTTAAATCCATATTTTCCACAAAAATAAATATATCAAGGTGAACCAAAAACAAAACTGTTAAAAATAGATGTGAGTTGATAATTAAAACTTAATTTAGAACAATATACGGTTTTGCCACTCTACAGAGTGCCTTAAACTTATGGTAAAAAACATATTTTTGTTTAAACCTGTATGTTATAAACGTACGTCTATTTTTTTAGTAATTTTTAAAATGTGAGCTATTCTCCATTAACTTTTCTACAATATTCTTTAATATTTGTTTAAATCCAAAATCAAATAAAAAAATATTTGCGATTGAAATTCATCGAAAATTTGTGTGGATCGATTATTTTGCCTTTGAGTGTATCTAAAGTATATTTCGATAAAAAAATCCATTGTACAACTGTATTGGTAAGATTAAGAATAGTACAAGAACGAAAGTTTTATATATATTTTGACAAATTATTTCATAAAATCAGTTTAATAGTTCCAAATGAATTTTTGTGAGAATATTTTATAAAATTTATTGACCATATTTTTTAATAGTATATTATTTATTAAGTTTGACAAACGCCATTTTAGTCACGTATTTAATTTGGGCACGAGCGGTTTTGCGAGCGAGTGCTTAAATAAATGAGTGCTTAAAAAACTTTATTTAACTTTGCATACTATACTTTTTCGACGACAAATACATAATATTATCTAAAAAATGATTTAAATACTAAATATTAAAATAACTTTAAAATATGATTATGTAAAGAAAATATTTTATTTTTTTTTATTACTATTATTGAAAAATATTGGCACAAACTATTCTTTTTTATTACACGCGAAATGTTAAAGGTACAAAAAGTGACAGTTGTACGAGGTGTGTTCAGAAAATATCGGGAATTTTCGTTTTTTGAAACAAATATTTATTTATTCGTCTACATTAATGTTGTCGCCTTCAAAATAGTCCCCATTGGATATTATGCACATGTGCCAGCTCTTCTTCCAATACTCGAAACACTTCTAAAACTCGATCTTTGGGATAGCCTTTAGTTCTTTCAGCAATGTGCTTTTAATGTCATCTATGCTTGCAAAACGACGGCCCTTTAAGGTTCTCTTTATTTTTGGGAATAGGAAAAAGTCAGAGAGAGGCATGTCTGGCGAATATGGAGGCTGGGGCATCATTACAGTATTGTTTTTGGCCAAAAATGTTGTTCAAAATTTAACAATTTTGGAACAAATTTTGCTGCCACGCGTTTCATACCCAAAACATTCGAAAAAATTTCATGGGATGAGCCAATCGATATACCAACATCATCAGCGACTTCTCTGAATAACCATTTCTTCCACTTTTTCCATGTTTTTATCGGTTGTTAATGTGCTTGTGCGTTCGGGGCATTCGTCATCTTCAACGTCTTCACGGCCATCTTGGAAACTCTTATACCACTTGTAAACTCTTGTTTTACTTATAGCAGACTCACTATAGGCCTTTGTTAACATTTCACAGAATTTATTTAATTTTTTAAGCAAAATTGGATACAAATTCTTTGATCCATATTCTTTTAACGAACGAAAATCGCCGAGCTCATAAAACACGTCCAAACTTAGCGGCACAGACAAAGTAAACAATGAAAACAGCTAAAGTTTTTATCATACTTCGGGGGCATGTATACCAACATAATAAAGAAAATTTTATGACAACCGGTATAGAAGCAAAATTTATAATGCTTTATCAGTTAAATCTAGTCTACTACGGCGCGAAATCAAAAGGTCAGTACAACGTGCATTTAAACTTTTTATATGTGGGCGATGAGAAACTATTTATTACTTTTGTATTTTTTTAATAAGATGTAAAATAATAGTACATGTAAAAATTATATTATTAAGAAAGGCACTTTATTTGAACGATTGTATGACATTTGACAACTGTCAACTAACTTAAAACTAACTTCAGTCCGTGACTAAAGCGCCATAAAGCAACAACTTGTCAATGTGTATTTAAAAGGTCACTTGATTTAAGAAATTGATTCGTTAAAATTAATTTTTTGTTCTTAATCTAACCGATTTAATTATTATTTGCTTTGTATAATAAAAAAGATTATTTTAAAAGACCACCTGATTTATATTAAACCAATTCCCTAAAACAATCAATCAGCTTGATTTTTTAAATTATGAATTAATTGCAAAAATAAAAAAATAAAAATATTTTCCTATTAGTTTTGGAGCATAGTGCATCCCGTGGGATTTTTTGTCAAGGGAAGATGAAACTATCTGAAATCAGTTTTTTATACACAAGGCAGTAGTGTATTTTGGGGTGTTTTGTTTAAAAATGTGTCAATTTTTTATGACGTCATTAATCCGATACTTAACTGTTATTTCAGGAACCTATGCGTTTATAAAATGTCGCATAATGTTGTAATTAGTGGTCCTATTAAATAAAATTATATAATCTCTTAAAATAACCATACAAAAGAAAAAAAAAAGATTTAAAACATTTTTTTTATCTCAAATGGTTAAGAAAATATTGGCTTTTAAAACTGACATATTGTTATATTTTTATATTTTGCATGGATCGATTTGGAGCCATTTTGCAAGAAATTTGAACTTTTATGAGCTGGCATATATCGGATTTGCCATACCCTCTCTATGCTGATTTAAGTAAAATCTTAAATTAAAAAACAAAAATATACCGTCATCTAGGTGAATGGCCCAAATAAGAAAAAAATGATTAGAAATTAAAAATTCAATAAAATACTATATAAAATCAAATTTAAACACAAAAACATACCTTAAATTAAGAAAAACAGGAAAAAGTTTTAAAATCGTAAAATACTTTTGACAGTTCTATGTAAACATAAATTGATAAAGCCAAGGCACACTTAATTTATAAGCAACCAATGAAATTACTTAAATTTGCTAAAACAGTTTTATTTCAAAAAAGTCACTGTTGCTAGAGGCTAAAAAATTGATGGGCCATCAAATTTGACGGCCCATAAAATTATACAATTGTTTCAAAATGTCAAATGTAATTTATTTCAAAGGGCACAATAAAATTAATTATTTGGCATTTTATAAATGAATGTCGAAAATGGTGGACATTTTGGATTAGAAATGCCATAAACACCACCAGACATATTTTCAATGTAAACATCCGGTACCACACAACTCAAAAAGGTATAAAAAAAGCTATCCCATATAGTCCCATCATGATGGATGCATCCCTTCATAACAAATCCCACAGAGAATATCTTATTGCTTTATGCTCCAGGACTATATCTAAATTCTAACAGGTCATTTGTATTAAAGGTTTAAGATTTTATTTGGTTTACCTTTAACGTAAGATAGGTAGCCCTTGACATTAGTCAAGAATTGAGGAGCATCCGTGCAAAACCGGCTATATCCACTTTAATAAAATGTTGGGAAAATGGCAAAAACTCTAGGTTTCCTGGCCTTTACAGATAAAAGAAAAAGCAAACTTGAGTTTTGTGGGCTTTGTGGTACTTGATTTATAAGACATACTTTCGTTTTCAAAAACTTTATATTAAGGCCAAAATTTCAAAAAATGTTTTGTATATAGCAGGTTTTGCTCGAAAACCGAATAAAAAACCAATAAAATGTGAAAAAAAACCTTTATTATTCAAAAATATTAACAAAATAAATTTAGTGCAAACATGAAAAAAACAGAAAAATTTTAGTAGTAGTATTTATTGGATATAGCCGGGTTTGCTATAAAAACGTGGATTTGGCCGGTTTTGCTCCAAAAGCTACCTTTTAAATGTGATTTTAACATGGATTTAGTCGGATTTAAACTGAATTATCTTGGTTGTCGATAGAAATGAACCCAAAGATGCAAAATCAAAAAAAAAAACTGAATAAAACGGATTTAGCCGGTTTTGCACGGATGCTCCTCAATTATAAATTTAACATGTATTACAAAATGTCACAAATTTCAAAATTATGTAATATTTTTGTTGCATGTGTACTATTTATTTGTTTATTAAAATAAACTTGTTTTAAATTATATACATTTCAAGGCAATTATTTCATTATTCGTCTTTATTTGACATATTTAAAAATTAATATAATGTATATAAAGTTATACCCTAACTGTTTAGGTATTAATTCTTCTTATTATTATTTTTATTAAGTTACCATTTGAAATTCCATTATAACCGGAAAAATCCTGGGCTACTGTCAATTTGGCAACCAGTAAGACTGCTAGTATCAGCATTTTGAATTAACCTAGAATAAAAAAAATCCATCAGAAATATTTAAAAATATGGCTTATAATCTAACAGGCATTCGTACTAGATTTAATATTTTAAAATTAATACAAAAATTTTTCCCAAATTTTTTTTTTTAAGAAATGTGCATTTTATTTCTTTTGCAAACTTAACTTTATGAGAAATAATAAATAAACTCAACGACTTTAAAATTTAATTGATTTCATAACCATATGGTAATGATAAAATTCATTTTTAATAGGTAGATATGGGATATTGATGAAGCAAGCTCGCTATTTAGATAAACAACAACGTATTTGAGCATTTTCTATATTAAAGAGAAAATATTAAGAATTTCACAACATAGCATATTATGTAAAAATTTTAGGTACAACAATTCATTATTGTGAAAATATATTAATAATTTATTAGGAATCTTATTATTACCATATAATTTACCATAAATTAAAACTAAGTAATAAAAGGCATTTGTTTTTACGTACATAATAGTTATTTATGTAATTAGTCTGGGAAGTGAGGTTAAATAGATCTGACAGCAGTCGATTTTTTTTATTGGTCCAAATGGGTTTTTTACAGACTAGAAGGTAACAAACTTTACCAGATTGATCGAAATAATTTGTACAGCCTGGGCGATAACCAATCACTTTAGTAGTGAGTGTTGACAATATAAAGTTTGAATTATAGAAAGCTTGAAGATACAGTAATTTAAACCATTATCGTTAAGGTAAAGTTTGTTTATGAAATATCATTGTCAAGGTTCATTTAATATTTATTATTAAAAATTTAAATACGATACGAAAATTATGCACATTATAATCTTTGCTTAAGTCGAAAATTTTGTGTTAAATCGGTAAATAAAGTTTAATGGGTGCCACCGGAACATTTCCCTCGGATTTCTTAAGGGATGGCTGTCGATTTTAGAGGTGCAGTTATTTATCCCAGTAAATAATTATAATTAATAATAATAGTGGTGGCCAAAAGTATGGAAATTTTAATAAAATTAGTTAATTATTTTAAAAATAATAATTTTGCCTTAACTTTTCTTATAACTTTATTTGCATGTAATAAACATGTAAATATTTTAAATTCTTTAAATTTTTTTTTAATACAGTATGTATTATTATATTATATTAACTTTTTCAAGAGGTGCAACCTGTTTATTAAAAGAAAATGTTTGTAGGGAATATTTTTCAAAATAGAATACTAAACAAAAGAAAAAACATAATGTGTTTTTATGTCATAAAATTTAAATTTAAACTAAATAAGACCACAGAAATTAAGGATGTTTTTTATTAAATTAAAACTTGCGTGCGGGGTAAAACAAAAATTCCACTTGACCGCCGGTGTCCTCGCTTTGATGCAGGGATGCCAGATTGAAGAAATAATTTGCGCCTAGTTTTTTTTATTAAAATTGCAAACCGCGATATTTGTTTGAATAAAATGTTTTTTAAATTTAAGCTGTTTTGCTTATTCTGATTAGTTTAAAATGAAGCTTAAAATCAATCTTCAGATTTTTGTACATTGCTAACTATTAAGAAATAGTCTATTTACCATTTTGTACAAATATCTATCTTTAGGAAAAAAATCATCCACGTATTAGTAACGCAATCCTTGTCCCGGTTATTCGTAGAAATTCCTGATTTATTTGGTAAAAACAATTTTTGTTTAAAATTTCCCGTAAACATGAATACATATCCTTCCAAACAACAAAATCTTAATTATACACGTATACAAGTCAGTATGATTAGTGCAACACTTTCACGTGGGGTATCCCTGATTTTGTTTTATAAAAAAAACGTTTAATAATTGGAATTAATGATCTACAAAAATGGAATTTAGTTGTTATTTAAACAAGATAAATGATATAATTTATAAATTGGTTGGTAATGGAAAAATTATAATTAAATAACCATTACATTCAAATCTGGTATTTAATATAAATTTACATAATATAATTTTTATCATTATTTACTTTTAATTGTCATATTTCGAAAAAAAATGACAAAATTCAAGTTGCTATAAATCATTTTGAAATAATTTGCGTGAATGTAAAAAGATAAACGTTGGAAAATTAAATCGAACTGTTTACAGGTATACCCGTAATACGTTTTCCCTTATTATGTATATTATCAGTTTATTTTAGGAATTTAAATTAAATCCTTGAAAATTTTGTTTGTATGAAATCAGGAAAACAATTTTAAATATTTTAAAAAGCTTTCGTTACTTTGCCTTTTCATAATATTTTATTTTTGTTGTTTATTTTAGCGTTGAATTTAACTGTCAACAAAATGTACTAAATTCATTCATACCAAAAATACTTTCGTTTCCATAGGCTCCTTGTTACTTAAATAATTTAAATAAATTACTAGCAAATAATATAAGACACTGACAAAATTGACTATCTAGTAGGTATTATGTTAGAATTTATGGTCAATATACATAATGTATAATTAAAATGTATTTGAATATAAAAACTAATTTACAAAAGGGTTTCCATTGTAACGGGCGTGACACTGACACTGCGTTTTTTCATCATAATATAGTGTTTGTTAATATATATCAAGATGCGTTAATATATAAACAAAATGTCAAAAAAACTTGTATTGAAAACCTATTATAACGTCATGAATCGCGAAACGGGCGCGACCTTAGAAAATCGGCAAATGGGAGCAAGTTGGCTTCTAAAGTTGATACTGTAAAATTTTGGATGAAAGCATATAGTAATAATTTTTTGTGCAAAACTTGAATAGTAACCTTAAACAAGCACGTATTTAAAATGCACAAATATTGTATACTTTATTTTCTAAAGTTTTCTAAAAATGTAACGGGTGCGACGTTTGATCGAGTATTGAAACCCTTCCGTGTTTATTCTTAATGTTAGTTTCTTATCATCACAATGTAAGAATATTTAAGGTTATAAATTACGTCGCAAACTAATTGACTTCAGATATAGTTTTTATTTTGTTAAATAACACATCTGATTCATTGTCAAAATACCAAGTTGTCCCCAATGTACTTTATTTTTTAGTATTCATTTCTAAACAGTTCTTTCCCTAGATGTAGTTTAGTCTTTGTTAAAGAATTGGAAAAAAAATCACCATAAGTGAGGTGAGGCCCTACATAAACTTTAAATATTATAATTTCTTTGAACTTTATATATTATTCTAATAATAAATCTGGTTTGACAAAAAACAATTCAGAGACGTGTTTTAAAACCCGATAATTTTTTCAGTTCTAAAAAAAAGATTTTAAATTTTAAATTGACAGGACACGTGGAAAAAATCTAGTAACGTGATTTTTTAATAGATTTTGGGAAAATGTAATAATCTTGCGTTATAATTTTTGTTTAATTCCTGACCCTATTATATAATTATAATGTAATGATAAATAAATAAAATTATATTTTTGACCAGATTTTGTTTGTGAGACAAGCCAGGATACTGAGAACTAAAACGCCATAAAGTCAGAGCTTGTCAATGTGTATTTAAAAGAACAATACAATAAAGGGCGTTTTAAAGGTTGTAAAAAAAGATTTAAAACTTACATGTCTGAAACCAAACTCATAAATTTAACAAAACCTAAATACAATGATTTTTAGATGGAATTAAGTCATTTAATTTAAAAATAACGGACAGGCAGTAAATTTCGATGATAACTTTTATTAAAAAAGGAGTCCTTACTTTATATGTTAATTTGCGTGTGTGTTACATACAATGCATCAAAATTACTAAATTAGAATAAATTTTAAAAGTATCGTGTATACATATTTGTTCAAAAAAAATTTTTTTTAAATTTCTCAAACAAGAAAAAAATTGGACACATGCTTGATAAAATATTGGATTGATTTTATTAGTAAATTATTATTTTAATTGATTCTGTGAAATAATAAAAGATTATACAATTATACAATAATTAAAAAAAATATTTTAACAAAAGTTACTTTTTGCATTTTAGAACTAACAAACATAACATTTGCATTTTTCCTAATTTATGAGGTTCCTTAAGCCTAATATAGATTTTATGTGCAAATTCATAGATGGCAATTGCTACTATTGGTAAAAAATAATATGATATACATTTTTCATTTGCATTTATAAATTATTAATTAGCTTAAAATTTATATTTTATGCAGATCAATATTACCTTGTGTTATAAATAAAGTTTGTATAATTGTTCTAGTGGTCACTAATAAAATAACTTTGCTGCAACTTAATGAATTAAATGGAGTTTAATTGTTTCTACATATATATGAGATAAAATCTAAACTAATCGACTTAACGTGTGTTTTTTGTTTAAATAAATTTGTTATAAAATTAAAGCGAGGGTAATTAAATTTTATGTTTTAATAATTGTATAATTTACGAAACAAATTGTTTTTAAGTCATAAAAGAGGTAACAATCATAAGTAGTAAACTCGATTTAACTGATAAGGCATTAAAAATTTCGGGTGGAGTACCCATAAAACATTATCTTTACTTTGACTGTAAAAAACTGCTTCTATATCAGATTTAATCGGTTATTTCAAGGGATAAATTCCGATTCAAACACAAAAATTTGATTCTAATTTTGAATAGGTATACGTCGCTTTATGCAAATATTTTATTTAAATCATTTGTAATTCAAAATTGCGCGTTTGTGATTAGTGGAAAATAAGACGGGTGAAATAGTCTACAAAAATATGCCTTAAGTATAATACAAAAACTGTTGCATGCCTATGAATTTTTTTGCATGATATCTAAATTATAAATTTTTGTGTTTTATAATATTTATATTATATGAAACCACATCACAACGCGTAGAAAAGTTAGGGGCCGTTCATTAATTACGTGAGACAATTTTGGCGATTTTTCGACCCCCCCCCTCCCCTTGGTGAGATGACGTGAGATTTTGCTCGACCCCCTCTCCCCCCCCCTTAATCTCACGTGAGATTTTTTTAATGCATGGTTTTAATGTAAATAAGTTAATCTGTGCTTGATTCCATTAGATT